CTTTGATTAAGGAATATGAGTGGCAGAAATATAAACCCTTTTAGTAAATAGTTCTTGTTTTTGTACAACAACATTCATTTGGGAAATTGCACAAGACCTTTAGAGAGATTTAGTAAAGTTATTGATTGTATTATGCAACATTAGGAAGGGGCAAAACCATACTTTGCATTTTCATTTGTCAAGGCTAAAATAAACTGATGTTACTCTGTGCTTTCTCATAATATGTTGAAATTATTGTCAAAAAGGTGAAATACCTGGTAGTAAGAAATCTACACCTGAAATCTTGAAGAAAGCTTCTCTGAAGAAATGAATTAAAATAATGCTGTGAGAGGCAGACAGGTAAATTAAATTATTTTTATAGTGTAATTTTTGTAATAAAAATAGGGATTATAAAGGGAAAACATGGAGTTCACGGAATTAACATTTTATTTCTGTGTATCTCCTGGATTTATTAGGGAAAATATATATGTAAAGATGCTTGGCAGAAAATTCTTGTTTCTCAATGTATAGTCTCATTTACAAGTTGCAGTGTTTCAGGGCTCTCAGATTTTTTGGGGGGACATAGTATGTAAGATAACAGAAAATCTGCAGAAGTTGTTCACACATTTATTTGTCTATTTATTTTTTTTCCCCAGTAGCTGGTTTTTATCTTCCACCTTGAGTATTAGAAATCTAATACTGCCATATGTTCAGTAGGATATAGCCCTCAGGTACATTTCAACCGGCAGCTAGACCAAGTAAAATTACAGTAAAAATTACAGTACCCAATATTAGTAAATGTGTTCATGTGTGTGGATGTCTTGTCTGTCTGTGTTTATACATGCAGTTATATGTACCGTAAGGATGTGTGTCTGTTATGCCAGTGTCCCCATCAGACTTCAAACTAAGTGGTTAAACAAAGTGGAATGATAGTAGTGGAAGAGGTGCTTTGATAGTTGTAAAAGAGTAGGATGGGGAAGGGGGTGGAAGGACCCTCAAATTCAGGGTACTCTGCATGAGAGAGTTGGATCTTGTTTTGCACTCAATCCTATTCAGTTCTAATCCTGCTTTCATTTAAAGCAAGAGTGATGTTCCCAGTTGTGTGGCTTGGGAAATTTAATGGTATTAAAGGGTGTCTAGAAAATACTATAACTGAGTGGGGGAAAAGGAAAAACAGTATAGTTTGTGTAAATTACACAAATACAAAGTTCATAGGTGAGGTTTAAAAAAATATCAGAAGTGGATTCTCTTTGTGACCAGTTTAGGTGTTAAATTGCTAATTTATATTTTCCGCTATGATGATACTTGCTAATTATATCAGACAATTATATTTTGATGTAAGGTCACATAGTTATGATGCCTTAATTAAACATTTGGAAATAAAACAAGCTGTTGAGCTATGTACAGTTTTTGTATCTTTAAATTTTTTTCCTGAGCTTCACACAGAAATAGATTTAAAAAACGTCCAAATGCTGTCCTTGTATTCGAATAATTGTACCAATATAGTATGTTTGTCTGAAGTTCCAACAGAGTTTTGTCCTGATTGCTTTTCTGGTGATTTTATTTAGCTGTGTAGTTTGTACTTCTTGGTCATGAATTTAGTCTCTGAAGGCCAAGAAGTGGAAACCCTCTATTATTCCTGCAGTACACTGAACTCTCTGCACTGCTCTATCAGGAAATCTCAAGTAACAGTTTTATGATGTATGAGAATATTATTCTCTGCAAGCAATAACATGCATTTCTATTTCCCCAGCAATATCCACATAATCAAACATTCACAAGTGCTTTACAAAGAATTTAATTAAATAGTGTGCACAGTAGCTGGATGCAGTGTGCACACAAGCCGTTACATATTCAGTAGTTCACATTTTGCAGAATGCTTTTGAGCAGTACAATATGAGAATGATATTTCTATCAAAATGTACATCATCACCCCTTCCTTTTGTACCTTGCTCCTTAAAAATTACACTAAAACCTTAACAGATGTCACCTCCAGGAGCACCAGGTATCTTCCTCAGTGCTCTAATGGTGTGATAAACAGAGGGAAATACAAATTCTCATGTTGAGACTTGAACATCAAACGTTATTCCTCTGAAATCAAACATTTATGATTCCCTAGAGAAAGATATAGATTATTGTGTTTTTTACCACAAAACTAGACATGTTTGGAATTTTATTTAAAAGTAGTAGAAATCTGTGGAGCAATCAAGACAAACCACTGAAGAATCTCATTTCTAAATTAACACCAAGACTGGACATTCAGAATTTAGACATGGGCAATGAGACAAAAAGATGTCTCATTTTATGATAACAAGTATGTTCAGAGTCCATTCTGTCAGTCACTGGAGATTAAGAAAGTCAGTTCTTTGGCATTAAAATGCAGTGCATCAGATTCTGCATCGGGAAAATGTAGGAGCGTGTTCATATGTTGTAGTGCACTTAATTCATTCAGCATTATTGGTGTGCTCATGTCACCTGCAGGGATTAGCATTCTGGAAGCCAGCAGGGTTATCTATTACATTTTGTTTTGTCTGTTCAGAAAAGCCCTTTAAGCATTAGCCGATGCGTGAGAAGAGTTTCCAGGCTTGCAGAGCAATGGGGCTGTGTTGGATGAAAGTGATTTAGAATATCCCTCTGTGGTTGTCTACCTTCCAGGCAGTTAGCCGTCCATCAGATTGGAAGGTTTTATTGGTATGTCAGTGCTATAAAGTATCAGTCCAAACCAGCAGACCAATGCCAATGACACAAATACTGAAAGACAGCCTATAATTAGCCTGTAAAGGTGTTTAGATGGAGGTGAACTACGTTTCTGACTTGTATGAGACCTCAACCTAGTCTCCCAGTTCCACAGAGTTATTCCAGTTTATTACTGGCTGACACTGACAAAATCTGTCCGTTATGACTGGCAAGAAAGACCAAAAACTACAAATGAACCCAAAGAAGAGAAAGGAGACAAAAGGAACAGTTAAGAGTAGGGAACTGATGTTGCTTTCATGCTGTTCTATTTTTGGTGTCATTTTGCTTACTTGAGGGGAATTGCTGAAAACTTAATTGGTGTAAATAAGAACAGTCTCTCTGTATTCTTCTTCTGAAGATGCCTTTTGGAGGAAAGTTTAATTGCTGCAGGAGAAGTTACAGCTTTCTTTACAGAGTTGAGAATGGGTGAGATCCCTGTTTAATGCTAATGAAGATTTGTCATTAACTTCAGTGATTTCACCCAGTAGCCTTTGTGTCCCTTTTTTCCGTCCTTATCCCGTCTTTGTATAGCAGATAGGAGCTTATCATTTTGCATATAATTTATAACAAATTGCAGTTATTCTAAAATATTAGTACAGTTCAAGGTTCAACTGAAGAAGAGAAGGGAAGCATGTAATTTTGAATTTACTCGCATGTCTAATTTTGAATACCATGTTTTGGATTTTTGCTTTATTTCCTTTAATTAGACTCTTATTCTAGTGTCTGCCTTTATAGAAGATATTTATTGTTTACCATTTCTAGTGTGTCTCTGTTTGTAATTTAAATCTTTTAACTCTCCTTGTATTTGGAAGTAGCCGCGAGTCTCTCTCTGTGCTTCTACTAGAAGTCTGGGATTTTTATGCTTCTTGCAGCAGGCCCTTTTTGGGAGTGCTGGAAATATATCCGAGTTTTCCATTCCTGATATTTCAGTGGCAACTTCCTGTGAATCCTGACGTAGAGCTGCTGCTGTCAGGTTGTTCTCCAAGCCAACTCTAACACATGTATCAGCAAGTCAAACTGACAAACTCAGACAAACTTGTGTGATGTGTCTGTACTGTGATAAAATTTAGAGTATTATTTAGAATAAGCAGGTCAGAATTTTTCTTCAGGTTGGGAAGTCAACCCAGAGACCTTTCCTCCCACCCGAGGAGGTACCACCTAGATAGACTTGTGTTAACTGCGAATGAACTAGCTTTGGAACCAGAAGTAGTGCAGCCAAATGAGAGGAGTGTGACAGCCGGGATAATTAATTAAGAAGGAGGCTAATTAGTTTGACTGGAGGGAGCACCATGCTGATGTGATAGTGTAGCTTCCAAAATTCTGGATGATTTGTACACAGGTTGCACTGGGCTTCTTGTAGCCGTACAAGTTGTTTTGCCATGAAGCAGCGTAGTATATTGGTTTATTCCCTATGTCAATTTACTGTAATTTTAGATTTATTTCCAGAGTGATAGTCAGTTTTAGTTCCTTAGTCTTCTGCAGTAAGATTTTCCTAACACAGGGATAGACGTTGTAATATTGTCTTATTCAACATCGTGCCACTGAGAGAAATTCCCCGCGGCTTTTTTTTTTTACCTGATGAAAGACCTTTGCATCTTCTTCTTAATATTTTGTCACTTACTAAATACAAAACCGAAGTAATACTTCTGAAGTTAGGTATGGCACCATTGTTCCAGCCTGCAGAGCTGAGAGGTGGCTGTCAGCAGTCCTGTTCTCAGAGGGTGCATGCTTGCAATAGTGCACACTGAAGGATGCCTTGTTTTGTAAGAACTGGTGATTCTGAACACTTTGCCATCTTTCTGATCGTTACAAAACAGTATTTCTGCAGTGTTCCCCTTAATATCGGTTCTTACATACAGTGTGTCATGTAAGATCTTCATAAAGGAGTCACTTTAATGAAAAGATAAAAAATACTTGTGGTAAAAGTCTGTGTTACTACGTTGATACGGTACAGTAAACATAAGGAGCAATATCAAACCCAGAAATAAATCAACAACAAGGTATTTTAAGATAAGCTAGATTCTGTATAGAGCTTCTTCAGTAAGAAATACTAAGTACTGTGTTGCAGCGATAACATGTTAATTGTGTGAACTGATAGTGATGTCAGATCAAAAATGACTATTTTTTTGTTTCCTACATAGCATTGCTAGAGAGCTAAAATTAAGTTTTGTTTTTATATGTGTGTTATTTAAAGTGCTTTTAGTGATGATTTCTGGCCTTACTCATGAGACCTCTTCAACATAGTAGCTCCCACAGGAGTTAACATACATTTTTTCTATTTCTAGATCTGTTAGCTGTGCCTAAACATCCATATGCTGCTATGGAGAACTGGGGACTGAGTGTTTTTGTGGAGCAAAGGATACTGTTGGACCCAAGCATTTCTTCTATATCATACCTACTGGATGTCACCATGGTCATTGTACATGAGCTATGTCATCAGGTATTGAAGGTGTTCAGATATTTGGTATGAATGTCAGAAACCATGCATTCCTTTTCAAAACTGAAAATGGATTTGTGTTGTTCACATAGACCGTTGTAACTTTTGTTGTATCTGTATTCCAAATAATAGAGAGATCTGTAAGATACATCACTACAATGCAGACACTAGGAAGACTCAAAATGGGGATAAAGGAGAAAATTAGTAGCAATGAACAACTTCCCTATCTTCTATATGATTATATTCTGTATGCTTTTGTGTTAGTGTGCTGTTGGTGTGTAGACTAAACACGCTAACTGTAGAAAATTATTTATTGCAGAACTGTAGCACATTCATGATGAGTTTCATGTTCTTGTCAAAATTGTTTTGTCTGAAATCAATTTGGTAGTCATCTTCTTCTTCTATCACATATACACATCCTTCCATTTTCTTTCTCTTTTAATTTTTTTTTATATTTGGTATTGACCCTTTCTGCACTAATGATGGATAATTGATTCATTATGTGTACAGAAACTTTTGTATCAATAAGAAAACTTTGTAATAAGCCCATATTACAATTTATTTTACATTTCTTCCATCTTCTTAAGCTAAACACATTATGAGCATTTGGTAATATTGAGTTGAATGCAACTGTTATTCAAGGAATTTGCTACAGGGGCAGGAAACCATTTCTTGCACTCACAAGAGGCATAATCATTGCCTTCAGGTTAAAATGGATGAAATCCTACTGTGTAATCAGCATGGCTTACATCTCTGACTTTACACACTATTCTTTAGAAGGCAATGCAAATTCTTAACACTTTCTGCAAATAAAAAGTACCATATGAAAGGGAGCCTTTGTAGTGGAGTTCTGGTAGATGAACCTGGAAATAATAATGTTTGGTTCATATTCACGTTTTGCATTCAGTCTGATGGTGAATATGAAGTTCTCAACTACAACATGAAATTTTAATTGAAAGTTAGTGCTGGTTTGTTCTCAATGCCATCATCTGATTTTGTTATATGCTCTTTATTGTGCAGTACAATAGAGTAGCACACTGTTCAGCTAGAAAAATTACAGTGCCTTAGGAATCAGGTGTGGAAAACACATATTAGGTCATCAAATCCCAGCTCCGGTTAGTATTGCATTCTTCTGTGTGGTGTGTTTTTGTAGTGCTGGGTTCAGTGCTCCTGATTACAGGGTTATGCCTCTTCCCTTAAAACCTTTTGATTAAATCTGATTGTCAATAACTTTTTCCTAGTGTTCAGCTCAAGTCTTCCTTTTTCTGAAGTAATTCCATTACTTCCAGTTATTCTTTACCCTGCTTTAGTAGTTTCCTGTGCTTCCAAAACAATTTATAGTTCAGATGGGGGCAATTATCACATCAGTAACTTGCTAAGTTTGTTTATTTGATTCTCATTGAAATTGAGGCCTCTTTACATTGTTCTGGGAATATCAGAGGATCATGAAGTAGGTGAAAACTATATTTGAATTTATTTTAGGGTAGCAATGTGGTCATAGAGTGTTTCTAAGTGACCTTAAAAGTGCAAATGAGAAGGTTTACTTGGTGTCCATCTTGGTATTACTTTCAGTGTTGCTCACGTAATTAAAAGTATCTTCCTCCATTCATGTTCCCGCTGTTTCTGTTTTAGTAACATGCAGATCAGGTCCTTGCTCAACTGCTGCACTGGATATAACTAGACAAGATAGAAAATATTCAGGTGGAAGAAGTATTATTTCTACTTTTTAGATGCAGAATTGAGTCACAGCAAATATGGATTGTTCATCTGCAAATAAAGTTTGAAGGAAGAAACTTTCCAAAAATACAAGCTGCAGAACACTATCTAGCACCTTCATCACTATATTGTCCTTATTTAGACAGTTTTTTTCTTCTTTTATCTTACTGCACTCAGAAGCACCTCAAGGAGACTTTAGCTGTGGATAACATAGAGCAGAAGCTGTAAACACTACTAGCTTAGCTGAAAGTGTATTGAACTGAGACCAGGTTGAGTCCAGGATCTCTTGCCTCTGCTCTTTAATTGTTAACTATTCACTGAATTTTTCATCCTCTTTTACTGTGCATCATCTCACCTGCTTACCTGGGGTGGCACATGAATATTCCTACCCTTCACTCATTTTTACATGTAGAATAACAGAAATTAACACTTCTGGTGCAGACAAAAGTAGAATCCACATATTCAGTTTTTTTTTAATTTACTGATTTTTTTTTGGTTTTTTTTTTTGTTTTAAATTTCAGGTGAGAGGAAAGGGAACTTTCCTAAAGTATGTTTTCCTAAAACAGAATCATAGAATGGTTTGGGCTGGAAGAGACCTTAAAGATGATCTAGTTTCACACCCCCTGCCATGGGCAGGGACACCTTCCACTAGGTCAGGTTACTCAAATACATGTTGGTTTTGTTTGTTTGTTTGTTTGTTTTAAGAATTGTATCATTGTCCTGTTTCCCCTGATTTTAAACCCATGACTTTGAAACTTACAGAACACACCTGAGCATGTAGCAAACTGACCTGTGGGAGACCCTTGTTACTTAGAGTGTTAACACAGTAATTACTTTGCTAATATTCCTTAGATTAGATTAAGTATTGGGATTGTTACCTTTAGATATGACTGTTTAAAATAAAAATTCCCAAACCTGCTGGGTATTAATGCTTGAGCACAGTGTTCGGGACAGATAGAGAATGAGAGACAGTATTGCAGAAGGACGAAGAAGTTCTGTGGTTGTCAAAATACAGGTAAAAAGCATGTAAGAAAGAATTCTACACCAGGTTTCTTCACTGGTGACTTTGTAATGCTTGGCCAGATATTTATTTTAGGTACATGTTTTAGGAGGGGCACATTAAAGTTACACGGGTAGCTTTAGTTTAGTAATTTTGTAGGTTGCTAGCGCTTGATATTTCAGTTTGAGTGTTCTTTTAGAACATTTTATGTATTTAATTAAAAAAATCATAATTGGAAGAAGGAGTGGTTGGGCATGAAAACTCCTCGAAGCCCCAAAACACAATTGCATATTGATCAAAACACACATATTTCTATCAGCTTAAGTTGATAGCTCGAAATAATTACCATAATTTATTAAAATAATTCTATTAAGGTGGTAATCAGTTTTATTTGCATATCACAGATCAGTCCCACCTACAGACTTTGAAGAAAGAGTCATTTGAATTTATGCACCATGATTTTTCTTGATAGTTTTCCCACCTGAGCACAAAACTTGGTGTGACAGATTGAGTTAAAGAGGCATGAAAGCAGAAGGAAAATGAAAAATTTCTAAATCAATGGTTTTTAAATAATCTGTAAAGAAAGCGTATAGAAAAAGTGTCCTTTCAGTGTGTCTGTAAAATAATTGCCTTCTGCATGACAGACTGAACATAATACCTGAGGGAGATGAGAAGTTTATATAATCAATACATTTCAATTCATTTTTCTTTTCCAAAATGAAAAGAAGTAATGATTTTCACTCCAGGCAAATAGTGTCCATAATCAAATACACAAATAAATAAATTAACAATTACTTAAATGAAATGCTTTACTTAATGTTTTCCTTTCAGACATGTAACACCTAGGAAGATAATCATATCTTTCTGCTGGAAGGTTTGGCTTCATTAATTGCAGTCTCTGGGACTGCTCTGTCTCCTACATTCATAACTATCTTTGATAGTATTCAAGACTAGTTAAGCAAGTTCCCTGCATTTTCATATTGCTATCACATGCTGTTTTAATGCCTGTAAAACATTTCGTTCTTTAGGTGGGTAACTAAACAAATACTTTTAATTGTATCTTTAATAAAGAAACCCAGAAAAACTCACAAAAGAGTATAAAAAAGTTCTTTTTTGTGACATCATAAATTAATATGTTATTAATTTTTTTGAGTTATAGGAGGATGTATTATGAACTTTACAACCTTTGGTTTTTTAAATCTCTCTCTGAATAGTCATAGAATGCCATGACTGTTACTGGTTTCATATTTGTTCAACAGTCCTCTTGTAATTCAAGAAATAAACTCTGTGCTATTGTGTTTAGTCTGTTTGTCATTAAAAATCATTTAATCAACCTATTCTAGTATAAAAGTAACTTTCATACTCCTGTGGTAGTATGCTGCTCTAACATTTCAAATTGTGAAAAGTGCATTATCTATATGAATATATTTCCAGTGTTTCTTTCTCTTTTCAGTTAAATGTTCTTAAGATCAGGATTTATCTCTGTTGGTCCTGTAGAGAGTTAATTTATTGATAGCCTTCAACTAGATTATGAACACTGAGTGTCCATTAAATTTAGTTTCACTTGGTGTGTGAATATGACTTTTGTCAACCACATCTTTTCTCCCTAAATACTTCAGTTCATTGTCAATGACATGCATTGTCACGTTTCACTTCATTTTTTTGTTCAAATCCTATCTACTGAACACAGTGTTGCAATCTGATAATCTCAGTTTCTGTAGTCTGTTCTTTGGAACCTTTGTGTTCACTTTGCTATGGATCCTGGTCACAGCATTGGTTCTTCCTTGGCGCTATTCTCACTCCACAAAGACATGCACAGGGGCGAGACCTTTCTTTCAGGTCCCTGACAAAGCCTTCAAATAAGCCAACTGTCATGGAAGCAAACTGCTTATTGGCCAACTCTGCTTTCGTTCGTTTCACTCTCATTTACAGTGCCAGCAGCAGCTCCTCTGCTCTGACATGAGTCTCTCCCTCTGGAATACTTATTTGCTGCTCCTTTTCTGTGTATTTTCAGAGCTTATGACTCCATGAAAAATCAAAATTATCTCTTTTGATTATGAATTCATTTCATTTCTAATCACGTTAAGAAGAAAACTAGCAGAGAATTTTACTGCAACAAAGTTTTAGTATTTGTTCATCAAAAAAGATGCTACAGAGGATGTTTTCATCATAGTGTATGTGCTTTTGCTCTTACCGCTAGTGTTATGATGATTCAAGTTGCTCAGGGCCATTACAATCATTTAAACAATGTTACCCATCAACAGAAGAATTGATGTTGTGTGATTTCCTTTGAATTTTTGTCCTCATTCCTCTTCCAATGATCATCCCAGCTCTGTCTGAAATCCCTCTGACACCCACATGTCCTGTACTGTGACAGGTTTGTGGCTGTTGATAGCTAGTGATCTTGTACTTTTGTAGGAGTTTAATTATCTTTGAGATCCCTGTCCTTCTTTCTAAATTAGACTGAAGTCAGTGGGGAAATTTGAGAGCAACCCAGAGGGAATGGGAGAGGCAGTCAGCTGGGTAGGGGTCCTTTGCATAAACCTAGGTGGCATGTGCAATTTTAGATACCCTCTGCCTCTGGTTGCTGTCCAGGAACACTGCAGATCTCTTGCAGTTTCAGTGAGTGGTATATAATACTGTTTTTGTTGAAGCTTGGGAACAACATGTTCTGTATAAATTAGATATGTTCAAACATGGTTCCCCAAAGGTTGTTTGTTTGATCTTCCTTTACAGTGGTTTGGTGACCTTGTGACTCCAGTTTGGTGGGAGGATGTGTGGTTGAAAGAAGGTTTTGCTCACTATTTTGAATTTGTCGGGACAGACTACCTCTACCCAGGATGGAACATGGTAAGACAGTTTTATGTTGTTAATTTGGAGACTTCACAGAAAAGTTGCTCTGCTGTTACACTGCTGCTTCTGTTAACACGGACAACTGAAAAATAGTAAATGATGCATGCAAGTATCAGATGTCCAATGAAGCAAAATCTGTAGATGTGAAATACTTTGACAACATTCCAAAAGTGTAATCTGCAATGTTATTACAAAAGAAATAAGATCATGTCTGTCATAACCCAGTATTTAAATATGTACTGTCTCTCTGCTCAGAAACATTTTGGATTAAAGTAGCTGTGATTTAACACGGACCATTTTTGAAAATATTCAGAGTATTTGAGTAGTCTGGTCTGGTGGAAGGTGACCCTGCCCATGGCAGGGGGTTGGAAATAGATGATCTTTAAGGACCCTTCCAACTTAAACCATTCTGTGATTCTGTGATTGAATTTTATCTGCAAATCCAACTTAAATTGGAAAGACATATTTGGGTAAAACATACTGTGAAACTGAACATATTTTTTTCTTACAGCAGTCTGTTCTTCTCTCTCTTAAGTTTACTCTTTTTATCTTTCTGCTATTATTTTGCATCTAGCAGTATGTACTAAGTTAACATGGGATAATTGAATTGAGAATCTAGGTTTCAGTATGATTGCCAGTTGTCTACAGCTGGGCGTGCTTTGTGAACTGGTGTGCAAATACTGGACCTCTCTGAGGGCAAACTGTCAAAACCATGCTGAGACATTCTTTTGGAGTCTTTCTGTTATATCATGTCATATCTAGTCAGGTCCCACTTTATATTAATTGCTGTAGTCTAGAAATATTATGCTTATAAGAAAAATGAGAGATACAAGCAAGACCTCAGGACAAGGAAATTTTGTGTGAGACCATGCTGAAGGTTGCTATATGGACTTCACTGTCCTTTGGAGAAATTTTTCTGTTTGCTATCCTTTTGTGTTTACACATATTTAATTATGTGTCAAAATATTTGTTATAAATACAGATTGCTTGATGGAGAATTGTAGCTTAAGTGTTTTGCTTAAACTGTTGCACACTAACTTCTGAATTTTTTTTTCTCATTTCTTGAGTATTTATTATTCTTATCCCATTAATTTTAGTGTGCCATGAAATTAAGATGCTATAGTTATGAGTGAAGCTAACTTTTTACTCTAGTTGTATGCAGGTACTCTTGCTTTAGGTATGTTTCTTGTGAAGTTTGCATTCTTTGCAGTATTTTAATTTTATCTTTCAGGTGTTAATTTTGGTTTATAATTGCATTATGAAAGGGAACATAAATATATATCCGAACTGACATCTGTCTTGAATAGGTAGGCTTGTTGGGTTTACCTGGCTTTAAACTCATTCTCTTCATCTTTATGAAAAACACATCCTGAATTACAATGTAATAATTCTAATTATGAATGCAATGAAATCTGGCAGCCCTTTATGATTTTAGCACAGTGAAATGTCATAGATGACAACGTTTATACACTGAATTTTATCTTCAAATCATCAGTCATTTGTTCTTCACATAATCAGTTTAACAAATCCAGAATAACTTTGCTTTAGAAGTCATTTGGAATATAGGATATTTGTTTGAGATTTCTGTGGAATGAATGTAATGTTCACTGTTATGCAAATGACATGCCCATCACGTGAAATTCTGGCATCTTAGCAGAATACAGGCAAAACGAATGGGTTGAACAAGGTATGACAGTTAAACTGGGAAATCAGACAAGTGCTGCATAAATTAGAATTAACTACAATAATATTGCTGTGCCTGAAAAAAATATTAATGTCATATCTGTCTGTAGACATAAACTTCTCATAAGGCTTTGGATATCATTGGCCTTTGATATAAAAATAACCACACTGGCATATTTAAATATTTTAAAAAACTGGTAGCAAGATGGAACACTTGGTGAGTTAGACATTTAAACAAGCTGTATTATTTTGCAGACTAGAGTAGAGATTGATACCAAGATGTTTCAGCCTTATTACAGAGATTGTAGGAAGAGGAAGCAAAAATTACAGTTACTGGAATTTGGCTTGCTGGATATTTTTCTTATTGGTATAAAGCATATTTGTTGCTTAGATCATACTGACATTTGTAAACTTGAAAAGATAAAAAGTGAATATTTATAAAAAGAAAAACTGTTCCAAACAACTTATTTTTTTTTTCAAAGGTGAAGGATACAGTACAAGCTTCATGAATCATTTGCAAAAACAAGAACTACAAACCTTATTTTCTGTAATGATGGTTAAACAGAGCAATATTGCAGCGTTCTGGGTGGTGTTTTGGCAGCAGTAATTCACATCTGTGAAATAAAAATAAAAGATGTTGTGCTGTATGATACCACAGCTCTTTGCATCAGAAAGACAAAGAGTAATTTTCTTTCTAAAGAATTGGCAAAGTTAGACAGTTAACTTCTTTCTCGTGTAGTTCTGAAATGTTACCCTTGAAAGTTTCCTCAAGAAGCCCATGGACTAAAATGTCAAATTCAGCTTATTTTCAGCTTATTAAAGATTTTCTGTCACATTTTCTTTTGGATAAGCGTAGAAGTAGAAGACTGGTAGTCAATTCCAGAAAAAGAGCTTTTGTCTGGAAATGCAACTTAGGCAATATGGATACATCTGAATCAAATGGATGTATCCACAGCTTCCTACCTAACTTGTTGGGTGGTTATAGGCTACAGGCATATTAGCTTTCACCATTAAAGCTCCGTAAGCCCCTGAAGTTTTGCTACTACTTGTGCGAAGATGCTTCTCTTTTAGCAGAGCTGAGCATTTGTCAGTGTCCATCTTATCTGGCATTTCCAGACTTGGTCTGGCTGAACCTGAGATTCTTCAGGAGAGCTAGCCACTAGGCGTGTTCACACCATTGTAACTTAAACCAACAACGCTGAGTTCTGCACAAAGCTTTAGATTTTATCTGAAACTTGTTTTCTGGCTTTTCCTTCTTCTCTAGGTTCTTTAGCTTGCTTAAACATTTCTTCCTCCTCTGAGGTTCTTAATATTATCAGTTTTTCTTCAATTGTTTTATAAGCTCTTCTTTTACCACGGGAAAGATGGATGGATAACAGTATTGACCAAACTGCTGTGTAACACTCTATTGAGCCTTCCAGCTGGTCTAGAACTTCTTGTCTTGTCCAGAAGGTGTTTACATACTTCATCAGGCTTGCGTGACCTTAATGAGAAAGGACATCGAGCCCTTATTAAACCCTTGCCCTCCTTGTGCCCTGGATCCTCCTATTAAAATTTTGGGTGAAGAACAGAATGAACAGTCATTCTGACAGAGGTGTCCCTTATCTGTTGCAGTTGATATAGGATACATCAGAAGGAGTGGACAAAGTTTTGTGGATTTTAAAACAGGAAGGTGAGCTTTGTGTGCTGAGATATGGTTCCACCACTGGTGTTAATATCCTTTCCAATATTTAAGTTACTTCAGATCAAAGCCAGAAATCCTGATTTCCTTCCTTAAGCTAAAAAATAAGTCCCTGCATGTTACTTTTTACCTCTTGAAGGTGAAGCTACCTTTGATTTTGCAGGAAATATGTCCCTTCTACACAGTCATTAGACATTTACCATGGAAATGAATTCACCATTCTTACCATTTCAGGCTCTTGCCTTGCCTATCCTGCGAATTTGAGAGTTTTTTTAAATTCTTACTCTAAAATATCTCAAATTCTTATTCTTAATCATAGAATCATAGAATGGCCTGGCCTGAAATGGACCTTAAAGATCATCTAGTCTGAACCCCCCTGCCATGGGCAGAGACACGTTCCACTAGACCAGGTTGCTCAAAGCCTCATCCAGCCTGGCCTTGAACACCTCCAGGGATGGGGCATCCACAGCTTCTCTGGGCAACCTGTTCCAGTGCCTCACCACCCTCTGGGTGAAATCTCATTCTTCAGCATCTTGATAGTTCAAACAATTATTTATGTGTTGTAAGGATTGTTTTAAAAAGAAAGTTGGCTCTGTAATCTATTCCTTCCAGAGAGAAGAGAATTTTACTTGATCATGTGTGCTCAGAGTGGTCACCTGCCTGTGAATTCCCTGGCTGTTGCTATTTCATGACTTAGAAAAAGATGAGGTTTCTGTATTAGAGGCTTACCATATAAATGTTTGGTTGTTCTCCATGCCACGAAAAAGCAAGAGCAGCTTCATGTGAGTTCTTGAGCTGTAAGATCTTATGACAGATACAACATGATAATCTCACCTCTGTGGGAGGTGCAGAGAAAAGAGAAAATTACGGTAGAAAAGTACATGCTGGTAATTTCCACTTTATAGCCCTGTCTTTTCTCATCTACCCTGCTCACCTTCCTCCTTTCAGAGGCCTGTTTGCAACTCTGTATTACATCTTCCTCTCTGCTTGTTTCTCTCATTATCCTGAAGTCCTTTGTATGTGGCTTTGTAAAGGAAGGAATTCAGCTGAGGTTTACAGATCCAGGTATTTACTGGCTGATCTTTTGCCTCCTTATTTTCTAGTAGAAGGAACCATCATGTTTGTCCTTGAATGCCTCTGGTGTTGGGG